CTCATCCCGTCTGACATGATTTTTTCTCACCCCCTCATCCCTTCTCCCCACCTCATCCCATCTCCCAGGATTTCTCTCCTCCCCCTGCCCCCCCATCCAGTCTCACAGGATTTCTCTCCCCCCTCCCCCCTCATCCCGTCTCACAGGATTTCTCTCCCCGCATCCCTCACTTGCAGCTCCCGGCCCTCTTTGCTCAAACTGTATTTTTCTAATTTCTCTTCCCATTTATTGTCCTTTTTTGTGTCTTTACATTCTCTCCATTTTAATCCCTGGTATCAATCCGCCCTACTCATAGATCCATTTGTCGCCCCCTCATGTCACTTACACACAGACCGACACTTACTGATAGACATACACAAACTCACTCACTTATTGACAGACCGAGACCCAGTGGGTGTCCCCAGCAGGCCGGCGCCCTAGGCGAATGCCTAGTTCGCCTAACGGTGGCGTCGGCCCTTCTCATGCCTCTAATGATTGGCCAAACTTATCACATTCTGATACATTCAGATGTACCTTGATCCCAGATTTAAGATTCTTTATTTTTAAATCCGGAATACATTCCGAGCTATTCTTTCTTTAATTTGTTACCATCCATTTTTACCATTCTCATTGTTTTAGCTTGTGATCTATATACACAATATCCTAAATGCAAGAACCGTACCCACTGCATGCCCAGCAATCACTCTAACTTTCTTCATCCACAGATTCTGAAAGATCCAAAGAAACCTCAGGCCAAACGAAACTTCTGGACTGTGGATATGGACCTCTTGCCCCATAATGCCCTGAAACTACAGAACCTGGTCTCCTACAACAAAGATAACCTTCCGCTTGACCTCACCCCTTACATTGTGCATGGGAAGCCATTCCGATACCTGGAAGAGCAACCGGCTCATGTTCCCGATAACAGTGACTTTATTCAGCCTGGCCTTAAACCCTCTAAAGGGTCACCAGACCCTGCTACAAAAAGCTCTTTAACTCCGTGCAGTTCTGCAGAAACTGTACCTTACCACACTGCAAACCCTCTGAGCCATCCCACGATAGATCCACATCCGAACACCGGATCACAGTTTCATAGAAAATCGCATCCTTCTGTCGAAGAAATGGTTTTAAATTCAGTGAATAAGATACAGATAGAAAACCGTGACCAAGTTCGACCCCGAGAAATTACAAAAGACTCTGATGGGTCACCTCCGAAAAAGGTGACACGTTGTGCGTCCGTCAAACCGTTAACTAATATGCTCCAGCAAGGATATCAGCCAAGTTCATTATTCCAGCATAGCTCGAAAACTAGCTGTCTGATGCAACATGTATACCAGCCAAATGTATTGCCCCAGCACAGCTGGCAGCCAAATGTATTGCCCCAGCACAGCTGGCAGCCAAATGCATTGCCCCAGCACAGCTCACAGTCTAGCAGTATGTTCCAGCATGGCTCGCAACCAAACTCACAGTCGTACCACATGCGCCATCATGGATCCCAGGCGAATTACTTGTCCCAGTATAGTGGCACTGGATATACCATATCCTCCTGCAGTGCAGCTCTGCATGCATACTGGCCTACAGTGGTATGAGGAAAATCTTCTATTGGAGATTTTGAAACACAATTTATTAGTACTGGTGGAATAAACGCAATTGTAATGCGACCAGTAATCGAAAACCCGCACTTTTTAATGAAATTAATATTAAGAGAGTTTATTGTACAGTATTTTTATGAATTGTAAGGGATTTTATTTGTTGAATATAAGTTTTGCTGTATTTGCACAGTGACCATGTATGTATCATTTTATGTATAGGTACTATGCTTGTTTTGCACTGCACTCTGGGATTTCATATAAGATGCAGCGCCCCCTACAGGGAAGGCTTTTACTGGTTTGGGTCCATACTAAGAGACGTGCAGTGAGCTCCATTATGTGTCATTGGTCGGTAATCTCAAACCTGTGGGGACATCGTTACCATACTGCTTCATTTAGTGACCTGTACTAAGCTCTGACACCGCATACAGCTGGGGTCTCATTCTGTCATCTAAGATAAAAGGTTCTTTAATATTTATCAGTTTTACTGGACTCTGCACATTATTCTCCTCACCGTAATCACCTTGCTGAAACGGAAAATTTAAATAGTCACTTTAACTTCTTAAAAATGTCTTCATGTAATGAGTTGGCACTAAGCAAAGGACACAATATAATAATAATATATTAGTCACCAGATAATTTTTTATTTATTTTTTTTATATCACAATGTGTATTTCACAAATGGTTTTTAATAAATAATGTGTTTTTTATTTTTTCGATGTTTTCTTCACTTTAATTCTGATTAATAAGTAAACGCTCTGTCACTCGTTTCAACCTCACGGAAATTCCGGTAAAATAATGCTGATTGGTTTCTCGAGCTGCTATTGGGGTTGCATACTCCCTGTCCTGGCCATGATTGATGTGAGTGAGTGTAACTCCAACTCCCATGATGCTTTGCCAGTCCAGTTGTCACCTTTTTTTTTTTTTTGGAGAGAAAAAAAATACCGGCCATACTCATTTGCATAATTAATTTATATATGCGTGACATCACAGGACACGACGTACATAAGAAAATAACATTTGGTAGCATAAAATTCCCTAAATCACTAATAATCTACTTACAGTGTGTGTGTGTGTATATACTGTCTGTATGAGTGTATGGCAGTGTGTGCATACCATTGTCTGAGTGTATCCATATACTGTGAGTGCGGGTCTGCTGTGTGTGTGTGTGTGTGTGTGTGTGTATATATATATAATATATATATAGAGAGAGAGAGAGTATATAACAAAGCTGGATATACTGGTTCTATTTCTCTCACCAAACTCCCATCAGACTGCTGAATACAAACATACTACTGAATACACACACATTGCTATATATAATATATACACTACTGAATACAGACACAGGCTACTATATATATATATATACACACACACTACTGAATACATACAAACTACTATATATATACAGTTGCAAGAAAAAGTATGTGAACCGTTTGGAATGATATGGATTTCTGCACAAATTGGTCATAAAATGTGATCTGATCATCATCTAAGTCACAACAATAGACAATCACAGTCTGCTTAAACTAATAACACACAAAGAATGAAATGTTGCCATGTTTTTATTGAACACACCATGTAAACATTCACAGTGCAGGTGGAAAACGTATGTGAACCCCTAGACTAAGGACATCTCCAAGAGCTAATTGGAGTGAGATGTTAGCCAACTGGAGTCCAATCCATGAGATGAGATTTGAGGTGTTGGTTACAGCTGCCCTGCCCTATAAAAAACACACACCAGTTCTGGTTTGCTTTTCACAAGAAGCATTGCCTGATGTGAATGATGCCTCGCACAAAAGAGCTCTCAGAAGACCTACGATTAAGAATTGTTGACTTGCGTAAAGCTGGAAAGGGTTATAAAAGTATCTCCAAAAGCCTTGCTGTTCATCAGTCCATGGTAAGACAAATTGTCTATAAATGGAGAAGGTTCAGCACTGCTGCTACTCTCCCTAGGAATGGCCGTCCTGGAAAGATGACTGCAAGAGCACAGCGCAGACTGCTCAATGAGGTGAAGAAGGATCCTAGAGTGTCAGCTAAAGACTTACAAAAGTCACTGGCAAATAATAACATCCCTGTTAGCGAATCTACAATACGTAAAACACTAAACAAGAATGGATTTCATGGGAGGATACCACAGAGGAAGCCACTGCTGTCCAAACAAAACATTGCTGCACGTTTACAGTTTGCACAAGAGCGCCTGGATTTTCCACAGCAGTACTGGCAAAATATTCTGTGGACAGATGAAACCAAAGTTGAGTTGTTTGGAAGAAACACACAACACTATGTGTGGCGAAAAAAAGGCACAACACACCAACATCAAAACCTCATCCCAACTGTGAAGTATGGTGGTGGGGGCATCATGGTTTGGGGCTGCTTTGCTGCGTCAGGGCCTGGACGGATTGCTATCATCGAAGGAAAAAATGAATTCCCAAGTTTATCAAGACATTTTGCAGGAGAACTTAAGGCTATCTGTCTACCAGCTGAAGCTCAACAGAAGATTGGTGTTGCAACAGGACAATGA